CGCATATAGTGTTGAGCATATTCGGCCTATGGGGCCTGCACGCACCAAGGGATTTTGATCATTCACCTTTACGCTTGATCGAGGAAAACAAATAAGTCTAACATGGGGTGTAAGCTAGGATCCAAGAGGAGGCCAGACTGCACCACTTTCACTTTAAATCCGTTGAACACTTCATCAATGATCTCTCCACCAAAATGGTCTCTGACGAGCACTCCAAAAACAGCTCTGCAATTCAATACGAACTTCTCAACGTCTGGAATTGAGCGAGCCAGCTGCTGCATCTTCTCGATCTTGAAGCACCCATTTCTCTCTACTATGGTCTCCACCTCAGCTTGTGAAGCGATGTAAGCAGGCAAGTTGAAGGAGTCCACCTTGGCTTCATCCACTAATCCCTAGAAATCATAAAATTTGAGTTTATGGTAGAGTAATTGATAGAGGTGAAAAAGGAACGAACCAACAGAGCTAAATAAAACACAGGTCAAATGTCCGAATACTCATGTTATTTAAAATGAGATGAATAAAACAAGCATTACCATCTTAGTCATGTCCATGAGAGTGGTGCCTAGAAGCTCTAAGAATGCAATCAAAGAACACCTAGAAATGTTTGCTTCATTTGGTACACATTGAAATAAAAGCGCCATGAATCCTTCAGGTACAACCTCCTCTGCTCTAGCTTTCAAGAACAACTCAAAATCATAGGCAAACTGAGCCGCATAAGCATCTTCAACTTCCTTGCAGCTTCCATAGAAGATCCTTCCTTTGTTCCATGCTGAGGAGCTTCTGTCTAGGACTTGTTCAGGGACCTTTGAAAGCCAAGGGAGTGCATATGAGGAGTGCACAAAATGCAGGCTGGCCTTGGGAAACAAACGCCCATAGAAGGAACTCGGCACCCCAGCTGCAAAGTAATTCTTTTCAACAGGAAGTGTCCCGAACAAAGTGTTGAAGTCGTTTGCGCTGTGATCATTGAAAAAGACTTGGAATTCGATCTCCTGGGATGGAAACTTAGATTTTACAGCTTCTATAATGTCTTGGACAACAAAAAATGTATTGGGTCCAATAGCACATCCCATATCTGCAAGCCTGAACTGATTTGAAGATGAACGAACAAGTTCTGTGCCAAGCTTATTGGTGATCTCTTGGTGCAAGATTTTCTTGACCAAATCCAAGCCCATTTTCTGACAAAATTTAGGAACAGAACACAACAATGTGAGCATATTTTTGAATTCAGGCAGGGGAGATGGAGGAAGAATGTTAACCTGGTAGGGTGAGTTGTTGGCATAACTTAATGGGCCCCTACCACCAGCCACTGGATACAACTTTGTTAAAGAGGCCTTCTGTGTCTCAATATTCTCCATTTCCGTTAACTCAGCTTCTGTATTGAAGTTGAAGAATTAAATCTATATGAGAATTGAGATGAGGTTCGAATATAGGTAATTAGCGACAAAGAAATTAAATTAATTAAGCAGGCACCTGAGATGAACTGGAAATGGATTTAATTTATGTTAATTAGTGGATCTGATGGTGTATCCTTCTGTGCTCGGATTTTGTGACACGAAAAGGTGATCGATATTGCCTCCCCTTTCTTGATTTGGTACATTATTTTTATCTTTTTATTTTTTGAAAATGATTTGGTGCATTATTTGTTCGTAATGGATTAAATTTATAAATAGGTATAGGCCGGACAAATTCTTTATTTTTTAATATAAAAAAATTAAAATATTAATTGAGTCCATTAATTTTTAAATTTATATTAAAATTATTTTTTAATTTCAAAAAATTATCTTTAAAATTTAATTTTTAATATCAAAATAGTCCTTAAATTTTAAAAATAAGAACTATCTTAATTATTAAATTTTGATTACAAATATCATTTAATTTTTTATTTTAATTATATATCAATTTAATATATAAATAAAAATATATCATAACAATAAAATATGACTATTTAATTTTATACATTATTAATATTTTTAAAAAATAATTTTATAATAATATGACGAGACACATACTTCTATTAATGGAATGAATATTTTAATATCAAAAATTAAAATTTAAAAATAATTTTGATTTTTTAAAATTGAAAAACAATTTTAATATAAATCTCAAAATTAAATAATTAAATTATTATTTTTTTTAAACAAATTCGCAAAGGATCAGATTCAAACCGTTGCCCTGAGAGAGGGAGGAATGTATTTATATGTGACCACTTGCCAAAGGCCTAAGTGCAATTAAATTAGTATTTTAAAAAAATTAGGGAAGGAAAATTTTATACACGATGCACCTCGTCAATGCAGCAAAAGACTACGGGGAAATTCATAAAAGAAACATTAGAGGAAAAAACCAAAATCAAACCATCTATTATGGCTCTATTTAATATAAGGTTGAATGTGAATTTTAGTCCCTCAACTTTATAATTTTTTTTCATCCTTGAAGTTTTTTTTTTGTACTTTTTGATCTTTTTGATTCTAAAAATTACACAATTTTAGTCTTTCATTAATTATCTATGAGGTAGGAGTTAAGTAATTTCAAAATGGCATTTTCTTTTAATCCTTTTGATGACATGTTAATAACATGCATTGTAATTTAATTACATGTACAAACAATAATGCCAAAGAAGATAAACATTCATATTTTTAATTAAAAGAAATAAAAAACGAAAAAGTTATCTTAGCACCCTTGTTTACCTTTCTCGATCCATCTTCTTCCCCTTCCTTTTTTTTTGCTCCAGTTAAGGTTGAACATAGCTATTGGGTTCAATGAAACCCACTTGATGGGTTCCATCAAACCCAGCAAATTTCATCAAATCAAACTAAATCCTCATTCACAAGCTAAATCCTCATTCACTTACTAATAAATAATGTCAATCAAACCTTGATCAAATTTCAAGATAAAATTCAATCAAATTCCAACAAATCAACTCCCAAAAACCTACAAATAATAGATACAATAGGCAAATCAAGAATTGAGAATGGAAACGGAAAAAAGAACTTAGATCTGTTGCATTCCGTTGAACCCACTTGCTGGGTTTCATCGAACTCAATCTACTAGGTTTGAAGGAACCTAGGAGTTGGGTTCTAACAAAGCCTAAAGCAGTTGGGTTGGAGGAACCTAATACTTGGGACAAAGCCTAAAGCAGTTGGGTTGGAGGAACCTAGTACTTGGGTTTGAGAAACCCAACAATTGGGTTCCATTGAATCAAGCAGCTAGGTTCTAATAGACCCCAGAGCAATTGGGTTTGACAAAGAGGGGAAGGAGAAGGGGAGCAAGATGGAACGAGAATGGGAGTTGAGTTTTTTATTTTTTATTAAAAATATAAATGTTCAACTAACTTAACATTTTTATTTATACGCGTGATTAAATCATATGACATATGATTGCCATGTCATCAAAACATTTTTAAAAAATGCCATACTGAAATTATTTAACTGTCACATTATAGTTAATTGACGGAGAGATTAAAATTGTGCAACTTTTACAATTGAGGGACAAAAAAGTGTAAAAAAAATTAAGAGATGAACAAAAATACAAAACTTAAAGTTGAGAGACTAAAATTAACATTTAATCTTAATATAATTATAATCTTAAGTTTTTAATTTTTTTTAATCTGTTATAATATGAGAATAGGGTATATTAAATTATTAACACGATATTAAGATCATTTAAATCTTAATATTAATGAAGAAATTAGATGCACTAATCCACTGAGGTCTTAAATCTAGTGCTTTAAGTTTTTAATTTTGATTTTTAAAAATAATAAATTTTATAATAAAATTTATAAATAAAACCAGAAAATAAAAACCAAATCAGCCATGGAAAAAACTCCCAATTTTCCAAAGGCCAAAGATTGGGCAGCACCCACCCATGTCTCGATTCCAATCCAAACTACCTATACTTTGGATTTTCTTCACCATCATCGTTATCCTGCACCGCCCAGCCGTGGCCAGAAACCCCCATATCATCAACTTCCGATCACCAAACCTCTATCCCGAGGGCCTTGCGTGGGACCCATCGGCCCAGCACTTCCTCGTTGGTTCCTTCCATCACCGCACCGTAAACTCCATCTCTGACGCCGGCGTTATCCAGACCCTCATCTCTGACCCCTCCTTCCCTATCAACGCCACTATTCTGGGCCTCGCGGTGGACCGCACCGCCAATCGTCTCCTCGCTGTTGTCCACACCTTCGCTCCCCTCCCTCCTTTTGACGCCCTCGCTGCCTACGACCTCCGCACCCGCCAACGCCTCTTCCTCTCCCTACTCCCCTCCCCCGACGATGATACCCAAGTACAAGATGGCATCGCCAACCCCAACATCCGCCGCCAGAACGCGAACGACGTGACGGTGGATTTCAAGGGGAACGCGTACATCACCAATTCCGCCGGAAATTTCATCTGGAAGGTAAACGCCAACGGAGAGGCATCGATCTTTTCCAGATCTCCACTCTTCACCCGATATCCTGTTGACCCAGATGACCCGTACAAGGACTGCGGACTCAACGGGATTACGTACATCAGCAAAGGGTACCTGCTAGTGGCGCAAACCAATACAGGCAAGATGTTCAAGGTGGATGCTGACGACGGGACGGCGAGGTTGGTTCTGCTGCCGGAGAATCTGACGTGGGTGGACGGGATAGCAGTGCGGAAAGACGGCGTTGTTTTAGCAGTGTCGTACAAGAAGCTATGGTTTCTGAAGAGTGACGACAGCTGGGGGGAGGGAGTAATGTATGACAAAATTGTTCTTGATGAAGAAGGGTTTGCTTCTTCAGTGGCAGTGGGAGGAGAAGAAAGGGTATATGTGTTATATGGGCATATTATAGAGCCCCAAATGGGAAAAGTGGAAGGAAGGGAAGCTTTTAGAATAGAGGAGATGAGGTCGGAGAAGGAGAGTGGAGAGGAGAAGATTTGGGTTTATGTCATGGTTGGGTTGGGTTTGGCCTATTTCTTGTTTTGGAGGTTCCAGATGAAGCAACTTGTTACAAACATGGATAAGAAGACCAATTGAATGTTTCTCTTTCTGGTGTTGTGACACTAGATCAATGGAAATTTCACAATAGTTAAATTAGTAGATGCATATAGGAAAAAAGAAAAATTACAAAACTTGTTAATCAAAAGAACGATGTAACATAAGATTGTGAGATTAGTTGTGTGCATCACTTTCATTCTCATTTTTTTTGTTTTGGAAATTATGTATGAAAAATGATTGCACAAGTTGGGCTAACAAGTAACGATGTAGAGTTTGAATTATTAGCATACAGGTGCAGTGAGTAGAGATGTAGGAAAGAGTTGCATTTGATTGTGAAGTCAAGATTAAGATTTAAGAATGACATTTAAATATTGCTGCGGTTGCTTCCACCAAGGGTCCTACTCGGCCTGCTACCCGGCCTTCTTGAGGGGGTAGGGGGAAAGTTGGAAGGCTTTTCTCATCTGGTGATTTCTGTGATGGAGGTGCTTCCGCTTTTGGCTTAGAAATCCCGAACTTCTCTCTAAGTTTCTCGAGTTTGTCCATGATTTTTCTCTTGTTCTCAAGTTTCTCTACACGAGCTTCAGCAGCTTCTGTGAAGAGGAAGGCAGCACCAACAAGGGCTTCAGTTGCTGCATACTGCATTATATCCCTCCGTGAAACATTAAACGTTTCCAGTGCTTGTGGTTTCTGTACTTTCTCATTCTTCACCTGCAAAAGAGGAAAGAAAATGATTCAAAGAAATGCATTCCCTTCTCTTTTATTTGCACCCAAATAGAAGGAAAATGATCCAAGTATAAGAAGACAACAGAACATGAAATAAGGAAGTATAGTGTGCTTCACAGATGCATCATCTGCCAAGGCTTACGAACAAAAGAACTGAACAAGTTCAATGTTTACCCATGATTGATAGTTCAGACATATATTATTATGTTACATCTAGGATGACAACCACAATTTGTAAACACATTTATGTTTTCACAGAATAAATTCTAATCCAAAGTGCATTAATTAAATTAGATGAAACAGTTTCTTCATTGCATATGATTTGTTAAACGGCATGATCAAATTAATGACAGCATAATAGCTTGGCTCTTCTTGTCTAGCATCTAATTGTTGTTAACACCATCTAGCACAAACAAATCAACAAAGCACCAAAAGAAGTTACTACTTTCAGCCAAAAAGAATGGATACCACATTCAGATGGAATAGAAAGGAGGTCAAAATAAATCTGCTATTGGGATCTAATGCTTCAATATTTTTGGGGCATCTTAAGTCCTAACTTTATTATGTGCATTCACATCTGTTACTCCATCAACTTATGATGCAAAAGTCTGACTTAGTTCTTCATAAAACATGATAAAGAACAAGAGCAGATTCAGACAGCTTAAAAGATATATTAGAACCCCAAGACAAAAATTAATGGTCTTGAACTAATGGAATTCATATAGGCTCACCCTGAATGGGATTCCAAATCGGTGCATCATCTTTGATATCAAATACTTGGATACTGAAGAAAAGATATTATGAATAAAGTTGCTTTCTCTAGTTACTTCCCTAAGCCTTCACAGACCAATCAATAGAATTGGTGATATTAACACCAGCCAATGAAGTTATAGATCTGAGACAGTTCAGAAGCTTATCCATGGGATAATTTTGTTCAAGCATAAATGAGGTTGGTTTGTTTAGATTGTTCTGGTACAAACATCATGATCCAGTAGATCCAGTTATTTCTCAATATAAGTATTATCATGTTAATGCAGGGGTACCACAAAAAACTGCAGAAAAGATCTTAGCAAAGTCAGTACAAGCCTGTAAAGTTTCAAAATTAATGCTGTAATGGACATAGAAATGGACATTGTGATCCATGTTGCCTCATCTCAATTATGGAAAACACTTTCTTTCCAACATATGATATGAACTAAACAATGCAAATATGTTGAATCAATCCAAAAATTGAGGTAGACAATTAACCACACCACTTTCTCCATATGGACTCTATCATGAATGTACGGAGGAATTATTTTTTAAATTGAGGCAGTTAATCAGACCACTTTCCCCTCTCACTTCCCAGATGTGGAGTTTGGAAGTTCCTGAAACAAATCATTGGATTCAAGACCTTATAGTTTGATAGATTCAGGATGCACTGGTATTTCCTAGTCAATTGAGTAAAAAGGTGACTGCAATATCACACATGGAAAAGCTAAAAGCATCTGTCCCAAATTTGACACAATTTTGGCATCTTAACATTGAAAAGGGAAGCTAACAAACACAACATTCCCACTGCTCAAAATAATAATAATAATAATAAACATGACATTCTCCAGTTGGGGAAAATATGTGAGTATAGTCTTTTCTTATTCTATCATACAACATTATGTTGAAACCCAAGCTGTTTCTTCATCAAAAGAATAAGAAAAACTCAAGAGCAGTGAAAAAGGAGTAAGATCAAATGAGCAACAACTTCAAAAACAACAATGATGAACCAAAAAATGAATTAAGTCTTTATCATGTGGCCTCCAGTGGGATGCAGATTGCATGTAACGTCCTCTGCTTGACATGACAAGCTTAAAATAATGTAACATTCAACTTCAAATCATATTTTGGCCAAAGTAAAGACTCTAGATCACAACAAATCCTGGACAAAATCATTACAATCACAATTCCCAAAGAAGTTAACATCATTCATTACTAGATAAGCATACATGTCTCATGCAATCTTATGGATTATAACTATCAGGTTTCAGAATCAATGACCATACTTGACTGTTCATTCTATCATATACAAGTAACAACATAACTCATATCAGCAAGCTCCAATAACATACATAATATGATAAAGATGAGATTAAAAACTAACATTAACTTCAAAATGGCCCCCCAAAGAATTACATTGGACAATAACACAGTTACAAGAGATTCTGAAATTAGAAGGACTAAAAACAATGCCAACATATGGTAAGTAAGTCACTATTTTTATCACTTTACCTGAAAAATGATAATGAGGCATTCATAAACTGCTCCAAAGGCTGTGAACTTATGATAACCAAAAATAGTTCAAGAGCATGTAGCCACCATATAGCCTAGCCCAAGTTAAGGTAACGAGAACAATGGGAAAAAAATTGAAAATTTCAAAACTGAAAAAAAAAAAAAAATCATGGGGATGTAGTTCTACTCAATTAAACATATGCAAAAGCATTGGAGGGGATTAACTTCTAAGAAGGAAAATGGGTACATACAACACACATTTCTGGCAATTTATGAATTCACGAGTGCAGTGCTAAAGCTGTAGAAAAATCTGAACTTGAATGTTTAAGCTTCAAATTTACTTCTTCCTAGTTGATCTCTTTGCACCCGCATTTTGTTAGCAATCGAAAGGAAATGAATTTCTATGGAGAGATTATGGGTTACAAACCTGAAAAGGAACAAGAGCTCTCTTTGTAGCCACAGCCATCGGCCGTTTGATGGGTGAACCTCTTTCACCTGCTGCCGGCAGAAATGGGCTCGGAAACAGCTTCAACTTAGAGGATGCCATCTTTCCGTCGGAATGTTCCACCGGCGGGAGGCGGGATACTTCAGCTTCGGTCTAGTGCAATGTAGAAGAGAAAGTCAGGTGAAGCGAGAGATAAATAATTTAGGCCAAAAATGAAAATACATAACCCGAAATGAAGGTTGGACTGGTTAACTAATCGGTTGACATTCAGTTGGTTCAGTTGATTAAACCGACAATTAAAAGTTGTTAAAATAAAATTTTTTTTAATTTTACATTTTAAATTACCATATAAGCATTACAATTCCTACTTTCAAAATAACTATCTTTTTTTAAATTCAAAATTTGACCAAGTTAATTTCAATTTAATTTTACTATTATTGTTAATTATTTTTTATCCACTTTATCACCAAAATTTTTTATTTATTTTTATTTTTTTAGAATGATATAGGTAAAAATATAAATCATTTATAAATTCTTAATATGTAAAAAAAATTAAAATATAAAAATTATTATTATAAATTGAGAACATTATTGATAATCGGTTTGATTGGATCTAACTTAATCCTGTTTTAATATAGTTTTAACCGGTTTTTATATTATTCGGCCATATTTGGAATCCCTCTGGTTGCCAATCCAATTAGTCGAACCGACCAGCCCAATCTGCTTTCATAAAACTCACAGAATGGGCCAATTTTTGTTGGGCTGTGTTCATCCATTTAGTCATCTGCATTGTATATTGGGCTTCAAAAGTGTAAAACCTTATTAATTTGGACCACTAGTATTTTTTTCCGTAACCAACGAGTTCATATTGCATTAAATTATAAAATTTTAGTTATTAAATTAAATTAAATAAGAATTGGGCCACCTAATAATGGTTTAGGGTTTATATTTTGTACTTTAACTCTTCCCATAAAACAACCTACAACGCAAAAGAACTTTTTTAAAGAAAAATGATATGTTTAATTTTAGGAAATTATCTTCCTATGAAATGATAAGAGGTAAATGTGTTTAAAAATTAATTAAGATAAATAAATCAATGCAGTTAAAATATTTATTTTCGCCAATAAGGTTTAAGATCAATTAACTAAGGAACAAGAGGCTAAGGCCCCATATTGTGGGTAAGGCAAGTGGCAAGTAATGTAATTCATGTGTAACTTGTAAATTACTCAAATCAAACTTGAGTTTAATATTGAACCCGATAGAAAAACAAACTTGAGCACAACCTTACATGACTATTCGTTTTAGTAATTAGAAAATATATTTATATATTTATTACAATTTAATTATATAATAATTTAAAAATTAAAAAAAAAACTTAAATAAGTTACATATATTTAAGTTTTTAAAAATTATTAATGAAAGTATTCAAATGGATTTTATGATTCTTTTCTATTATTGAACTTAATATAATACTCTTATTTAAGTTTTTGGTACTACAATATTTTTAAAAATGTAAAAAAAAATTAATAATTAAATAATTATTTAATCAAAGGTTAAACTCTCAATTTAGTCCCTCAACTATTATACAGACTTCTAATTTGGTTCTTGAATTAAAAAATCTTTGATTTAATCTCTACTGTTACCAATTTCACCCCCAAAGTGATACTTTTGCTAAAAAACAGTTAACATGTCCATTATTTAATGGTAAAAAACCATCACCTAACAATCACGTGTCACGTTAATAATGAGATACATCATCTATTTTTGTACAGAAAACCAACTTGGAGCCAAATTGATAGACAATATGGATTAAATTAGGAATTTTTTTAATTTAAAAACTAAATCAAAAATCCATACAACAGTTGAGAGATCAAATTGAAGATTTAACCTTAATCAAACAATTTAAAATTACAAAGAAAAAAAAATGCAAAACAAAACAAAAGCTCGAATTCAACGTCAAGTACTTGCTCCCTTGAGTGCTTGAACTCATGAATAAATTCAAAATCACTTAAATACTCATGAATTTGAACACGATTTTAAACATTTTGAGTTTAATAAATACTAGCGATCAAATATCAATACTTAAGTGTCCAAAGCCCCTATTTGCACCATCCATTTAATTATTTTTCGCGGTCAACAACTTCCAAAATTTTTCCTCCCTATTCACACCTTTAACTTTTCAAAATCAGTGAAAAACTCAATATTTTAACGCGCCGTCACTGCACCGTTAAAAAATGCACCTCGTGGCACCAAAAAATTGACGTGGCACTATGTGACATTAGTAATCCAATGTGGATCCCTTTTTTTCATAATGTGGCTTATTTTCTGCACACGTGGACGCACGTGTACAGTAAGACCAACAAAAAATTATAATACGTGGCACCAAACAGTAACATAAACATTATGTCATCTTTTTTTTTTTTGATGATGTGGCATGTCTTCATCTTTTTCTTTCCCCCTCATCCTCGGCATCATCTTCACCATCCTCTTCTCAATGGGTTCGCGGGGAACCCAAATTTTGGGTTCTTGGGGAACCCAGATTTTGGGTTCTTGTGAGGAACCCAATTCTAGGTTCTTGCGCGAAACCCATTCCTATTTTATGCAAAGCAATTTGGAATAATTTTTTTGTTGGAAAGGTGAGTTTTTTTGCTTGGAGATTGTTTCTGAACAGGTTGCCAATTAGAGTTCAAGTGGGATTAACATGAATGACAATAACGGTTTTTTCATTTTTTGTGGGAAAGGGGTGGAAGATGCATCTCATGTGTTTGTGCAGTATTCATTTACTTATAATTGTGTGGATGAAGATCTTAGTTTGGTAGGCATTCATGTGAAACTGGGTTCCATGAGAAACTCAGAACCTGGGTTCCGCGAGGAACCTAGGAGGATGAGGACGAGGATGGTGAAGATAATACCGGGAAAGAAGAAAATGAAGAAATTAAAATTAATTATGATTTAATTATAACACATTATAAAAAAAATAAAAAAAAAGAAGTCCACATTGGATTAAAAAATGTGACATAACATTCTGGGTTCCTGGTTTCATGAGGAACCCATGAGGATAAAGAGGAAGATGGTAAAGATGATGCCGGGAAAGAAGAAAATGAAAAAATTAAAATTAATTATGATTTAATTATGCCACATCATAAAAAAAAAATCCACATTGGATTAATAAGGTGACATAATGTTCATGTTACTGTTTGATGCCACATATTACAATTTTTAACGGTTATTAACGTTTCCATGATGGCGCGTTAAAATATTGAGTTTTTTACGAGTTTTGAAAAGTTAAGGGTGTGAATAAAAAGAAAAAATTTTGAAAGGTGTTGACCACAAAAAAAATTAAATAGAGAGTGCAAATAGGGGATTTGGCCTACTTAAGTAATGAACTTTTACTGGATACGCTAATAGCATTAATTATAAGTTTGAGATGATAGGCTTTTTCTAG